TGAAAAAAATTATGAGCGACCTTTCAAAATTCTAATTTTAAACTGAAATTTTCAGAAACTTATTTTTTTTTTTAGTCTATAAAATTATACCGTAACGAGAAAAAAAATTAAAAAAAAAAAATTTGATTTTTGACGATTTTTGAAAAATTTGGAGTGACCTCTTAAAAATTTTTTTTGAGCTGTCCTTTGGTGAGGGCTCTTAAAACATCAAAAACTAACCTTTTTTTCACTCGAGACTTAAAAAAAAAAATAGTCAGTTTTTTTGCGCCACCCTAATTTATATATATATATATATATATATGTATATATGAAAAATATATAAAAATGCATGTGGTTATTCAAATGAAAGCTCTTGATGGGTGTATCATCGGGATGAGCTTATATCTTTAAAACCGTCAACATTTAAGAAAGTACAGTGCACTTTAACAAAATTCATTATTTAATAAAGCAAAATTTTATTTATTTGTAGTTCACAAGTCACAACAGTCACATAGTGACTACAAGGTTGCTAGTTTATATTATTGTTATATTACAAGCATAAAATTAATGCGTGGTTTGTCGAAAAAAGTAAAATTTGATTTGAATTCATAATTAATTTTATAGAATTATGTAAAAATAAAAAAAAATAAACAATAATAATAATTTTTATAATTATCGTATTAACGGTTGTTAGCAAGATATATCAGAGAAAATATTAATCTATAATATAATATATATGTTAGTTAAATAGTCTATATAAATTGAATTATCTATATTATTAAGAGAATAAGAATTTTCTGTCCAGGACAGTCATATGATAAAATCGGTTTTTTTTAGTGAAATTTAGTGTCATTGCAAAGATCTTGATTTGAATTTGTGCTCTTTCAAAGTTTCATTTCATTCTCACTGATAGTAAATTTATTATGATAAGTATTTAGGCTGCATTCAAAAATGCTCTATTTCTACATAAATAATTAAAAAATGACCTATTATCTTGGTAAAATATTGACATTTTTAAAGATGTAAGCTCATCCCGATGTTACACTCATCAATACTTTTCATTTGAGTATCCACATCATTTTATCATATATTTATATATATTATATGTATGTATATATGAAAAATATATCAAAATGCATGTGGGTACTCAAATGAAAGCTCTTGATGGGTGTAACTTTTGGATGAGCTTATATCTTTGAAAATGTCAATAATTAAGAACTGACATTGTATTTTGTCAACTAATGATATTTTTAGAGATATAAGCTCATCTTGACATTATACTCATCGATACCTTTCATTTGAGTACCCACATCAATTTTTCATATATTTTATATATTATATATATGTACATATGAAAAATATATCAAAAATGGATGTGGGTACTTGAATGAAAGTTCTTGATGAGTGTAACATTCGGATGAGCTTGTATCTTTAAAAACTTCAATAGTTAAGAAAGTACAGTGCAATTTAACAAATGTCTTGAGATCTATTGACATTTTTAAAGATATAAGTCCACCTTGACTTTACACTCATCGAGATTTTTCATTTGAGTACCCATATCAATTTTTCATATATTTTATATATTTATATATATTATATACATGTATATATAAAAAATATATCAAAATGCATGTGGGTACTCAAATGAAAGCTCTTGATGGGTGTAACTTTGGGATGAGCTTATATCTTTAAAAATGTCAATAGTTAAGAAAGTACAATGCAATTTAAGAAAAGTCATTATTTAAAAAAAAAAATTTTAATTTTTTTTAATTCACAAGTTACGGCAGTCATATAATAACTAGCAACTTTGCAGTGACTGCAAGGTTGCTAGTTATTATTATTATTATTATTATTATTATACATTAATAAAAAATCATGTATTCTTCTCTATATAATATATGATTCACATTTCTCATATTTATTACAATAATTAAAAAAGAAAATCTTCCTGAAAATAAAATATTTATCGAATAACTGAATCTTTTTGTAACATGTTCCATCTTAAAGTCAGAACAAGCCACCCGGTAAGCGAGTTTCAGGACCCTAATAGGGGTTTCTTAAAAGTAAGTTTTTCCCATCGATTTTCCCCTCGAGACATTCTTTAAAAGATACCCTACCTAAGGATAAATTGACCTTTTTTTTTTTTTTATTCAAAGGCCCAACTTTTTTTAAACCTGACGTTCTTAAATCGTTTTTAATTTTAGATTATGATAAACTTCGGTCGTAACTCAAGCATAGCTTTTTAAAAATCAAAATAAAAAAATATGTTGATCAAAATTTTTTCTTAAAATCTAAAAAATAAAATAATAAAATAAAAAAATAAAATTACCGGTTGGCATGATATTAACGAGGTGTGAATAGGTTGTCTGGTAGTATGTCCATTGGTAACATACAAACGTGGTCCATAAATACCCCGTATATTTTGTACTGTACAAATATTATTATTATCAGCGCGTCTTATTGGCGAACAAGATGCTGATACGCCACCGTTGCTTCCACTTTCACTGTCAGAATTATTGCTACTGGGTGGTGTTGGTGGTAAGCTCTGTGATGACGTTTGGGTATCATCATTGCAGCTACTGTTACTGTTTATCAGCTGGGAGACATGGTACTCATCAAGAACAGCATCTTCGTAGTCTTCATCGTCAGCTTCACTGTCGCTCAAAGATTGCTCCTTGACTTTGAAGTTCAAGTGCAACCTGTTCGGTGCAATCATTTCAATGAAATTTTTGTCGTCGATGTCAACGTCGATTTCTATTTCGTCGTTAGTGTTTTCTGTTGATTGCGCCGGTTCTTCTTTTATTTCCATGTACTCTTCGACGGTTTCTAAAACATCGTGAGGGACTTCTAATAAAGTTGAAGGTGATGTGCGACCGTGACTGGACGCTTTCTTCATTGATATTGCTGGGAAACATTCTTCTTCCATATCTACAATAACAGAATTAAAATCATCAGTTTTCTTCTTAAAAAAATTAGGTAAACGGTTGACCCTAAAGGCCATCACTGCAACTTCCCGCTAATTCCATACTTAAGCGCTCAGAATTGCACTCATTATGTTTTTGAGCTCTTTGAGCACGAAAATATTATTTTTGTCATATCAACCGCGAAAATTGGATTTTCGAGCAACATACAGAGGGCGCAAAGAATACGATTTCTGGCAATCTATAGTTTAGTTAATTTACCTCGCACTAGTATCGAAAAGTAACTTTTCTCTCTCTCTATCTGTCTCTACATTTCTGCACAACTACGCTAAAATACTATATAGATGAGTCAAATTCTTTTTTAATTCGACAAACGTCCGCTGGGTGGAGTAAAAATCGCAAAAAGAATCTTAGCGACAGTTGAATCTTGTAAACAACTTCAACATATACGTACGTTTGATCCATCGCTATTTAATCTCGTGACATAATTCTTGTGTCTTTAAATAACATAAACAGTAATTGAAAATTGCACGCCTCATAAGCGAAGCGTTGAAGTTGTGCTTTACTCTCGACATTTCGAAAAAAGCTGTTTTCTCGAAACTGAAATTGATTTTTTGTTATTTATATCGCACTTACAGGTTAAAATGAGTACACTTATGTCAAGTCAAATAATTTTTCAAGTACATAAAATATATTTCAATAACAATTTTTTTGTTTAACATAATAAATAATAACATTAAACATAATCTTTTTTGGACGTCCGTGGATGAATGGGTGTATGTGGCAGAGAAATTGGTCGAAAAAATGATCGTACCGGAATAATTTTTTTTTAATTATCTAAAGTAACACACGACAGAATTTTTTAGTTAATATGAGCGTTCAATTCACTGTCATTAAGTTATTATTTATAAAAAACTAATATATGACTGTGGATATTTTTGTATTTCTATCTAGACATTTTATTTTAGTATTTTTTTTCCTCACCTTGCAGTTATGGCGCCACTAAACCATAGCAGTGTTTTCTGTTTTTTATTATTTTGCTTTTTATATTTTATTTTAATCAATTTTATTTTAAAAAATGAGATTATGAGGCGTGCACTTTTGGATTTTCCAAACTTTTTTTGACTGTTCTCTCAAATTCAACTTCCGCAATTGATATAACAAAAAATTATGTTCGATACTTTATGTTCAAAGGTAGGGACCCTGACAAACTTGAAGTGAAGACACATGTTTGAGGCTATGGATACATTTTCATCAAGACCTTGTACTATATTCGGACTCGCTGCGCTCGTCCGGATAAGTAACTTGGTCTTGATAAGAATGCGCCCATAGCCTCAAACTTGTGACGTCACTTCAAGCCGTCAAAATTCCTCCCTTTGCGCATATGTATCGAAAATAACTATTTCGTGTCATTTTGAGCTCTCCGAGGTAAAAAGTCTAATAGGAGTTTAACAAAGCACTATTTTTTGAATTTTCAAACCGCAATAACTTTTGAATGAATGAACCGATTTTCAGGCGGTTGGCGGCATTCGACGAAGTTTTCCAGGCCTCATAAAGAAACAAGTTTTAATCGATCGAAGTAGGAATTTCGATGTAATTCCGACAAAACATTTTTTTCGTCAACGATAACTGACGAACGAATCAATCGATTTTGACCGGACTAGCGACGATCGATGTGGTTTTTTGATGTTAAGAGCTGATTAGTTTTTGGAATTGATCGGTAAAGCCGTTTAAAAGTTATTCCAAAAAATCGACACTTAAAAAAAATTTTTTTTCGTAGTTTTTTTGAGATTTCTCAAAATCCACTGGTTCGAATCGGTCCAAATTATATTCAAAATCTAAGTTTGGTCGAGCCCCTTCGATTGGCGCCAACCGCAATCAAATCGGCCAAGCCGTTCAAAAATTATGAGAGGTTTACATACACACACATACATACAGACGTACGGACATCATCACGGAAACATTTGGGGAAGCTTCCTAGGACCTCAAAACGTCAACATCCGTTGAAAACTCGATTTTTGAAAAACGGGGTAAAACCAATAACTTCCCAAGTTTTGAAAATTTTCAATTTTTTTTAGCGGGAAGTTGAAAATTATAAAAAAGTTTGGAATATTCAAAAGTGCACGCCTCATAATCTCATTTTCCATAACAAAATTGATTAAAATACAAATACTTTTAAATCTTTTGCGCCATTTGCCACCCAGAAAAGAAAGGTACCGTGCATGTGTTTTAAACGAACCTTATTTACATAAATATAGATATACAAATGATGATTGGATTTTAGTTTATTGCTAATTACAATTAAACTACATTGAATTAGACCGTGATCTTCGATAGGATTTAGTTTTAAATAATACTGAAGCATATAAAAAAAAAGTGGACTTGATCAGTTAAGTTTTTTGGCAGTTATAGTGACCACGCCAGTTTGCATACATACATCAGACACACAGATGTCCACGGAGTAATTTTTTTTATTTATTTAAAAAGCAAAATGTCATAAGTGTTGAAACTAGTGTTTTTCCATGACATTTATGTTTAAATATTGTTTTACAAATGCGATAGAAAATAAATAGAGACAATTTTAGTTCAAGAAATCGCTTGATTTTTGTAAGGCGAGCGTAGAGTACAACCTCATCCATTTCGCTTATGAGGCGTGCAAAATTTTTTTTCTCAATAGAAATTTATCAAAGATGCTATTTCAAATAAAGAAACTATACTATCATATCTAAAAAAATTTTTGGAGTAAGTTTAACATTGATTATGATTTAAGATAGTTAACGGAGAAATTGAAGAGGATTTTTGATCAAAAAACTAAGATGAATTGAATTAAAATAACAAAGTAACTATAATTATCGACCGAAGATAAAAAAAATCCTTGATCAAGAGTTCCAAAACCAAGAAACTGTATATTTGAAGATAACCCGTTGTTTAAACCATTTTTGTTATACTCGCTCCAGAAGTTCAACTTCTGAGCGCTGGGTAGCGTCCGTAAAGAGACTCTTTTCTAGAGACTCTACCATACCGCCTTTTTTTCACGGCCTAGGCCGTGAAGTTTTACCCCCTCCTTTTTTTTACGAACTTTTCATATACACCCAGACAAAATTGAGAGAGGTTGGAAAAAAAAAGTCACATTCTAGCGTACCGACCGATAATTTTTAGTCTTAGTTACTATTGAGTGGCGCTAATTATTTCTCTGCTGGCAGTTTATTACGAAGCGGACCTAATGTTAATAAAATAACAACAACGCCATAAATAAATACTAATAAAAA